TCGGCAATGATGCGACAACGTCGCGATGGCTATCACTTCGTTAAGGCAGCGATAGCTGCTGTACACATATAATGTTTGAGGCTACACTTAATGGACACAGTAGGTAACCCTGGTTAATTTCCTGTCACATGCACGCTCTATTGGCAGCTTATAAAGTCGAGACTGAATTCTTTCAATACTTTTCGTTGCCTTTTTAGTGTTTGAAGAGTTATCTGTGGACAATTAGCTACTAACATGTGGATGAAAGACGTGGATACATGTTCTATGGCAGTAATGAATAAGTTAGTGGGTAATTATTTTAGCTCGCTTATTAATAATTGCGTAAGTCTAGCAACCCACACAATAAGTGTTAAATATGTGCCAAACATAAGGTAGGAAACATAACTTTTTCGCCAATGATAGCGATATACAGAGTGTGAGTTGTCGCTCTATCGAAAGTTCTTTCTTAATTGACTAAGAGGTTATCACTGGATACTCCGTACTTTTTGGATATTAAGCTGAAGTGAATTGTCACACTTTTTTTGTCGAGTGCTCGACAAACTTTTACGACCTGTTTAAATCGTGTTTTGGTGCAATTATGGTCGTCTTCACCTTTTTTTCTTTTTCCTGTAGTATCTAGTTGTTTCCTCAATATTAGCCTGTAACGTAATCAGTAATGTTGCAATTGTCGAATCAAATTTCTTCATTAGCTTTGAGAAATGTTGCTATCTAAATTCTAACCGGTAATCTGTAAGTCGAAATCGGTATTTCGAGCTGGTTCTCACGATTTCTTTTCCTTGCGTACTTCGATTGTAACCTCCCCATCTAGTAACAAAACTAACGTCCGGTTTGGTTATACAAAATCAAAGGGGATGGTGCATGGATTGAAAATGAGAGTACGTCAGTCTAATCTCCTAAAATAGTACTTTGAACAAACAATTTACGAATGTAGTCCTGGTTTTTACGAAACTGGTTTTCAATCAACTCTATTGGGTTACGACATGTTTGCACATCTCTTCGATCAGGCGCGATGTGTTGCGCTCGGTTGCCGACGGCTTGGGATGTGCTTTCCGTGATGCCGCAGACCTGCTGTCTGGAGATGCACCCTGTGCAGAGCTTTGCCCGCGAGCGCCCTCAGAACCAGCTAGGCTGTTTTTTTTCTGTGTCGTAAACACAGGGCTCATAGAGCAAATAATATTTTAAGTTGGTCTTCAGAGCGTGAAGGCGTCTCAGACACGCGAGCCTCGTATGAGGCGTCTGTTAAATGTGAATTGGGTATATTAACAATTTAAATGGGAGAGTGTAACGGGGTTTCACGTTATCTTGTAAGAAAGAGCAGGTCGCACAAGTTAGTGTGACCATATCCATATATTGGTGTATATTACACGAATGGGTGTTATGACACATTGGTGTGGCTACACCACAACAAGAAGCCACCATGTGGCAGGATTGCCGCTAATAATGCAAATTACTATACTTATTAGGTTTTACTATATAATTAGGTATATATTAGATCGCAAAGTAGATCCTTGTCGTGGACTGGGTACTTCATCTCCGCAGCCATTAGCTGGCAATACTCGAACGCGAGCAATCGATCTTGTCCCTCGGCGTCTGCTTTCAGCATTGCACAGCTGATGGCAAAGTCCGAAGTGTCACAGACGACACTAAAAATAACGATCGGGGTCTGGCAACGCCAGTACTGGTGCATGAAGGAGGCTGTATTTAATCCTGTCAAAAGCCTCCCGATGCTCAGAATCCGAATACCATTCCATATGCCGTGCGATTTCTGCATAATTTGTTCTATACTTGTGCAACCAAAGGAAAATAAGGATCTGAGGGATCCTTCAGGATCGACAATCCGCTTCGTGCGTTTAGCACCCTCTTGGTGTCCTCCAGGCAGCATCTTCCAGAAGCAACGACGAGTAAATTTCCTTGTTCGGTGTTATAATGACAACATCGGCTAAATTGCCTACCTAAAGGCACCGCCCAAACTCTTCAAAAAGCATTTAAGAAGAATTATTCACCGCGGGAATGGTATCGAGGGTGACGTTGCCGTCTTTTTTCTTCCATCATAACGTTGACAAGGGTATATATCTATGCGCCATCGTATAGGGTAGACGCACCCTGGATCAGGGTCGATGCCCTGCGTCTTGCAGATAACATGCGGCTTCGCCGTTTCTCCCTATAGCGGATTTCGTCTCATCTAGACCGGTCGGAACACATACCTGACGTCGTCCAGTGTCCCCACTCCCTGCTCCATCGGAGCCTTGATTTCTCAACAATTTCCAACGAGGAGCTGCTATTTCCAGAGTCTTCAGCCAGTGGATTACGTGCTACTCCACGCGCATCAAAAATGTCATGTTCAGGATTGCTCGGACCGCGTCCGACCCGGCCACTCTTGGCATGTAGCAACTGCTTCTCAACAGGAGCAATCTTCGGTGGGTTACATGCCACTCTACATGCATCACTGGGGCCTCGACATCGATGCCTCGACCCTTGGTACCATGCCACTCCTGCCACTCTGCGCTCAGCCCTCAAGCCACGCTCGGGACTCCTGTCCAAAACACCTGGGTGTTTGACAGCTCGGATACTCCAATATCCAGCACATTGTCCGTCCCGGTCCAGTGCCAACGCCGATAGCGCTTCTGCTTCCTAGCAGAGATGGGATTGTGACTCACCAAAGCTCCACCATAAGACATGCGCGTAGCACATAAAGTCTCGACCTCCAATAAATCTACGGCTAATGGGTTTCCAGCTATGCTATACCAAGGATAAGGTATTTATTACCTTACATCCAAGTCTTAGCCTAGGCAGCGTTCCACTCTATCAAAGATAGGAAACTTGATATCGAGGCCCACAAGGACCCTCGGCACAGTGACACAAGTTCCCGTCGCTTAGCGAACAGTGACGGTGTCACTCAACCGCACTTTCAGCGCCTCAGCGTACAGCTGACTTCCTTCGATCGTGGAGTGCCGAGCATAATCGCTCAACGCCTCAGAATCAATTAGAGTCCTCTATGGCTTCTCAAAGCCCTTTATGGTCGCTTTTACGACCAGCAAGCCCGGCTTGCATACACGTTCCGTGTTCAAGAACACGCAGCTCTTCGGGGCTAGGCCTTGCTGCCCTCTATATCTTTGAGGCGCAACAGAGCTCAGTTCTTCCCCAGTAGAGCACCCCGCGCCGACTGGGTATCCTCGTCTTCCCGCGACAAACCAGTAGACTGATGAGAAGCGGGGCGTCGGATCGACGTGCTTTAACGCGCCGTGCGCAGGCGATAACTAGTCTGACGGTGACGGGTGTCTCCACAGACAAAATTCCGTCGGGCGTTTACACGCTGCACGGCAGATCGGAACTCGCCTCCTCTTTCTCAGCATAGCTGAGATCCATTAGCTCAGGTCCGTCCGACGAGCTCCGAGGGTGCGCATTCGCACCAAGTCGTGCCGACTTAAAGTTAAATTCGGGATTCAATGCCACGTTCATCGCGTCCTCAAAAGAAGGTGGATGCACACGGAAGACTTCCATTCTGTCCACGACAGTGCGGAGGCCCTCCATAACGATGGTCGCTGCAACCGCATCGGGAAAAGGCCGGGAATGAGAGTTCTCAACTCTTGAACAAATTTCACCAGCAGGTCGGCAACAAGGAATCGCGATCTTATGCGATATGCCTGATTTGGCGGCGAGAGTACTTGCAGAAGCTGATGCTTCAGCTTCTTCCAGGAGGGTATGCAGCTTCAACTGAAGCAACACACGTTAGTGCCTATTCTTGCGCTGGACCCCCGAGCTTGAAAATACATAGCACCACGAGCTGTTGCTCGTTCTAGATCATGGCGGATGCCATAGTCACCTCGGCCTCTCCTATCCAGAGCAGAAAATTCTCTTTATCTCTAATATCAAAGGTCGTAACGCTCACTATGAGCAGCCTGGGTCGCGAAGAGTTATCCTTCGTCGACGGTGGCGTCATAGACGCTGTTGACGCTGGCAGCTTCTGCTGTAAGTACTCCAACACTGCATTTTCAAGACTTAAATATGCCTCCAGCCGCGCATTTGTCGCTTCGGCCCTTTGCGAAACAAGGTTTTCCACATCTTCAGGGTCCAACAGGGACATCAGCCCATCAAACTATGCCCTGGACAAACAGGAGTATTCTTCAATCCTCACAGAGGATCAGTCGTAACGACTCAGGCGTCGAGTGCTACCAAGTGCAGGGGGCCACCGTAGCTTTTTGCTCAAAGGAAGCTAAGCTAATGTCACCCACGCTACGTTCTTTACGAGACCAGAACGAGTGTAGCGGATCGCAATTCTTTGCCTCCAAGAGTACCCCGAAACTTTAGCCAAGGTAAATAAACTCTCACGTCCAAACTTGAAACAGTATTTAATTTTTTTAGGCCGCAAATATCTAAAACCTTAGGTTTTCCAAAAAGATGTAGTAACACCTAGCTGATATAGAGAAAATCTAATTAATTTGCATTACTGCTGGCAATTAGTGGCTTCTTAATATAGTGTAGTCACAAGTAATGCGCATGATAGCGATGCAAAGAGAACATGCTCAGATCCAAGAATTTTAAATCTATGTTCCTCGATTATGGAGATATATATCCAGGGCTATCGCGTGGTTTACTTGGGAAATGTGAAGGTAGGAGTGACCTGTTGTGCTACGCTGGATGAGCGTAATGTCGGCAGCATTTACTACGCGCATGCGCGATTGCGACAAGCGACCATCATAGTAAAGAAAAAAAGT